AGAGAGAGAGAGAGAGAGAGAGAGGGAGAAAGAGAGAGAGGGGAGCTTTTGGGTTTCATCCAAGTGCATACTCGAAGTTCTTTTTATTTCAGCGAGTGATGTATTAGTATTATGCCTAGACTATAATGAGGCAGTCGTATAAAACTGATGGTTCATGGTGGTGGGGCATGGGTCATATAGTCGTGTGATGTCATTACATGTCTTCATTATGTGATGTGATTTGCCCATTACAATTAGTTGAAGTCATTTGATAAAACAACCGTTTGCTTTAATGTTTTTGCCACTTATGTATATTTTTGTCCTGACTCCAGCAAATCATAATATTATTTTTTTCTAAGCATTGCCGGAATCGCGAAACGCATCCCAGGAGCTCGTCAATCGATACAAAACTGCTTGCAACTACCACGCAAAACTACTCGTCCAATTGTTTCCGCGAAAAACAATTTCGTGTGTTGTGAGTTGTGACTGTGTGAGTGTTGAATGTGTGCTCACTGAAAATAGCACCGCCGTTTGTCAAACACACAAATCAGCACGAGAGATGTTTCATCTTTCAGAGCGCTTTTGGAATACAGTTTCTAAGGCAAAGCTTCGCCAACGTCTGTCAATACTGCAATGAACGAGGAAAATAGTAGTAGGCCTAGCTCAGGGCAGCTTTGTTCTGCCAAAAACACTGATGGCGATGGGACTGATTGTGGAAGTGATGAACATGGAAGTGGAAGTGTTGTCGCAACTTGTGAACCTTTAAGAGGAAACGCCAATGAGTGCCCAGCTGCTGTGGTTTTAGTTACAGAGAATGATAAGCAAAGTTCTAAGGCAGATGAGTCTTCATTAAGAAACAAACCTGATGAAGATTGTATGGTTGATGGCCGAAGTAATTGCGAGAAGAATGACAATCCCTTTGATGTTGATGAGCCTCACATGCCTTGTAACTGCAATCTCAAACCAAATTATGTATGTCACCTGTCAGATGATCCTAATGAAGAAGGAGAACAACAGGTTAGAAAATTTTTACGAAGTGACTATTTCTTCGAACGTTCGGAGAAATAGTGCCGATCTTTATTTTTCTGAACGGTTTCCGGCTTCCGGTCTCGTGATTTTTTGCCTATTTATTGAGAGAGTTCGGCGCCAACTTTCATTCTGCTGACTGCCGTTCTGCGAGGTCTGGGAAGGAGCAAATTTTTGGGTCTAGAATCTAGATCTAGATCTAGATCTAGATTCTAGATCTATTTCAATTTCCAAGAGCTAGAATCTAGATCTAGAGATTTTTAGATGGGTGTAAAAACGTAAAAAGAAAGGTTTCACAACAGAATGAAATCAAAATTAGAACAGCCCATAAACAACCACAAAAATTAACAAATAAGGGCGTGTGTCTACCTGTCCGAAGAAGATTGGCTGTTTTAATTAACCCTAAATGTGCGTAATTAAACAAAAAAAGTACAGGATATTACATGTAAATTATGGAATCACACACAAGGGGCCTGCGAGTGTAAGTACATGTTATAATCGGTTTTGGTGGAACGCTCTAACATAACACATTAAAATCTATATCATCATCCTTGCCTTTCTCACCCTGCACCAGGGTATAGGCCACAGACAAACACCTTCCACCTTTCTCTATCCTGGGCTAGCCTCTTGATGTTCCTGCTGAAGTAGAAGCTCCTCCGTCTCCCAAGATCGAAAAATAAAAAGCTGTGTTTGTCCATGTTTCTGTAACTTACTGTTTTTTACTGGGTAGGGTAGTTGGCCCTCCACAAACTGGCACTTTTCGGGTGGCCAGACCTTTGCACTTTTAGTCGCCTCTTATGACACGCAGTATCACAGCAGATGTATTACTTGCCCCCCCCCAATAGTAAAACTATGACCCCCCCACCCCCCCACTGGGGCAGGGGCGACAATTAAATTTTTTTTCTATATAAATTATATATATTTAGAATGTAATGAAGGTAGGAACATCATATATTAAATGACGTTACACTATACAACATCCCCCCACCCCCTTTTCCTCAACAAACAAAAAAAAATAAAAAAACAAAACCTCAGAACAACAACAAGAAAAAAAAATTACACACCAACAAAATGAAACACCACAAAGAGGGAAAAATAAAAGAGGAACAGCAATAAAAATCGTATGCTACTAACGTATTCAACAAAATCAACCTGGTGACAACAAGTGAGAAAGAGACGAAGTGAAGATAAGTGAACTTTCTTTCAAAAGTAAAGAGGTTCGGTCTTTGCTGTTTTTTTTGGTTTTTTTTTATTTGAGTTTTATTCCCCGATTCGGGGGAGCAAAAAATAAAATCGAGCCACGATTGATTGGTCGCGGCCGTGACAGACGCATGCTAGTTCTATGTGTCGTTATCAATTTAATGCTCCATAGATCTATAGATTTTGACAGCACACGACTGAACACAACACATTACGTTCATAGGCAACACTTCATATCTGTAGCGAAAAACTGTTTGGAACTGTAGCATTTCTTTATATAAATATTTACTACGGACATTTTTTTAACCGATTGAACCTTATTGTATACAAACAATCTATAATATAATTATAGATCTAAATTGAAATTTGCGGGAAAGGATGTGATTTCAGAGAGTTCGGAGAAATAGTGCCCAGCTTTATTTTCCCGAACGTTCGGAGAAATAGTGCCGGTCAAATTTTTATTCTTAATTCGAAGTGTATACAGACCCAGTTACCGGGAACAAAGTCACGAAGTATATATACAGACCCGGTAGGGGAACTCTTTTGTGATTTTGGAAAGTTTCAGCGCCCAGACCCGGTAGTGTGTGTGTGTGTGTGAGAGAGAGAGAGCAGGGAGAAGTGCTAGCAAAATGTATGACATGCCCCAGTTGACAAGAGGGAACGGGAGAAAGATAGAGTGGGAAATAGGTGGGGAGGAAGAAAGACAGAGACAAACAAAGAAAAAGAGAATGCGAGCGATACACAGAGACAGAGGAGAAAGAGAGAGAGAGAGAGAGAAAGAGAGAGAGAGAGAAATATAAAGGGTGACTGCCCGATTGAAATTATGACATTGTTCTTTTCTTCAAATTGTGTTTCCTCCCACTCCAAAAATGGAGGAAAAACGATCGTTCATTGAAAAGACTTCGGCAATCTTCATAGATCTTGATCTAGGCTAACCTCGAAACTAGATCAATGATTTATGTCTGTCGGTCTAGATCTAGACCTAGGCCATAGAGATCTAGAAGAACCTAGGTCTACCCTGAGCCAAGAGGGTGCTGAAACTTTCCGAAATCACAAAAGAGTTCCCCTACCGGGTCTGTATACCTTGTAACTTTGTTCCCGGTTACCGGGTCTGTATACACTCCCTTCTTAATTAGCCTAATTTAAAGCCACGCTTGTCTCCGGCTGTCACTCTTTGTCCTGCTGGAGCAGAAATTGGCTTGTTTTGCCACTTTTTGTTTTTTTATTTTTTATACCATGGTTTGCGTGCGAAATAATATTGATAAATTCAAATTTATAAACTCTGCTTTGATTTCATTTAGGCTATTGTTAGGGGACCTAACTCCCCCCCTCTCTCTTTCTCTCTCTCTCTCTCTCTCTCTCTCTCTCTCTCTCTCTCTCTCTGTCTCTCTCTCTCTCTCTCTCCCTTACTCTCTCTCTCTCTCTCTCCCTTACTCTCTCTCTCTCCCTTACTCTCTCTCTCTCTCTCTCTCTCTCTCTCTCTCTCTCTCCCTCTCTCCCTTACTCTCTCTCCCTTACTCTCTCTCTCTCTCTTTTTAATTTCTTTTATTGTCTCTTAAGAAAAACATGGGTGCAGATGTGAGCAAATTTCAAATTTTGGTTCACCCACCGCCACTGGATACGCCACAATCGTATTCAGACATTTTAAACACTCCTTGTAATAACTCCTAACGTCAGGAGCTTCTTAAACTGGTTGTTTTCCTCCAGTATAAATTTGCAAAGTCCAGATACATGCACATCTGCATACGGTCCCTTAACACCAAGCACGCAAGCTGGGCGTACGGTCCCCTAGCGCCAAACACTATGGGGGCGTACAGTTCCCTAGCGCCAAACGCAGTGGGGCGTACGGTCCCCTAACATCAGCCTTTCATTTAATGTTATTGTGACATGAGTATCAATGATTCAAAGACGGAATTAATTAAATGTTTCTTTTATATTTTTGTATATATTATTTGTGTCTGTTCATTCGCATTACCAGAGAGGCTAGGAGATCACGTATGTATGAGGTTTTGACCACTGCTTGCTGACCGTAAAAGCAACCCGTGATCCCACTGGGCTGGTCATCTGGAGCCCCACTCCCTCTCCCTCTCCCTCTCCCTGTAAATTCCCCTGTCTGAGATGGGTACCTTGCAATTCCGTCTTAGACAGGTTCGACTAAATGTGATGAAACAATTTACACAGAAATCTCAGCATGCATGCCAAGGACACGTTAGCAGTCATGTAGTGAGGTGCGGAGAAAATTAAATGTTATGTACATATGTCATCAGTGTGTAATCCAGGGCAAAAAGAATATGGACCTGATTTCAAAGTTAGAACAGTTGTATGTTTGATTAAAAAAAGGCACTGAATAAAAAAGACAACCTATTACTGTACATGACTACAGATGGTCTAGATGCACTTTATAATAAGTACTGTAGAACACGGCTATAGCGGGGCTTTTGGTTCCAGACGAGTTCCCGCTATAGGAATGCCAAGGGGAAATTATTGAAAAATTTCTTTAAATCCACATGATTACCTGCCTTCCATATCAATAAAACTTGCGCTTTAGATTAGTCTTTCTTTTCTTGTCTATTTTGTTAATTATTCGGCCTTTAATTCGAGTGAGAAGCATTTCCTTTTGTCTTTGTTGGAAGCCATTTATCCTCGGTCTTGTTGCTTGTGCTGTCTATCGTACCGGTAGGCCTACTGTAAAACTGGTGAAGCGGATGCGTGCGTATGCCTAAGATTTAAGACATCAGCGATTGCAATTCAATGAATCAGGAATCACACACGACAAGCTCTCCTCTTCTTTTACTTTTTGGTCTAGCCTAGGGCTATGGCCAATATGCTCTCATTCTGAACGTCTAAGCTATGGCACATCACTTTTGGAGTGGCTCATGTAACGCTTCTCTCCGCACCATCTCTCTCTGCCGCCTGCCCCACCTCACTCATCAGTGGACTGGCCAATCACAACAATGCACCACTGACTGCCTGTTTGGAGCCCGCCTAAAGTCCCTGAAACCCCCTTACCCCTAGCTAGAGCTCGTTCAATCTCTCCCGCTGTATCCGAGTTCGGCCTTTCCTTATCCCGCTAAACCCGAGCACAGGTAATTGAGTTTACTTAGAAAAAAAAACAGGGGTTCAGGTAAGGTCCCGCTGTAGGGATGGTCCCGCTAGTGGGTGCCACTGTAGTCATGTTCTACTGTATTATCAGAATGTGTTAATGTCATCTGGTTTCCATTGATATGATACCCGTATAAATGTATCACTTTGCGCTCTTTTAGACTTTGGAACAAAAAATGTCTACCCTGACTGACAGAACAGCAACTGCTCTTGCTCCTGATCCTATGGATATGACTGTACTGAAGGCTCTAGAGGCTGCTGGGTGTGTCAAGAAAATGGCTCTCCTACGACAAAAGTGTAAAGACCAAAAACAACAATGGCAACAAGTCCGTGAACTTCCTGTTCAAGATGCTTTGTGGATTATTGGAGAATATGAGAATGGTGATCCTTTCATTTTTGTGGCACTGCTAAACTTCGGGCCTTTTCCAATAACCCTTTCTATCATCTACTAATACTTACGTTTGTAGAGTCTAAGCTTTTGCTCCAAAGGGTTAAAAGTTAATATCTTGCTTTTTACTTATGCATCCCTACAAAGCCTTTCCTTAATTAGGATGTTACTATTTTTTGAAAGAAAGACTCTAACTGTCGACAGGCTTCCCCATTCTATTTTGATAAGATTGATAAATGTTGATTTAAATGAAAAGAGGAACACACAATTTTATGCCTTAAAAAAATTTTGTAGCATGTAGCCTACTCTGAAGAATATATGAATATCATAATAATTGAATTTATAGTTTGATATTTGATGCAGACTGTGATTTTCTTTTTGTTCTGACTTTTAGTGTGTTATGAAGAACATCGTGATGATCATGTCTTGCGTGTGATGGCAGTTTTTGAAGTTCATGGCAATACTAAACATCTCCTTGGGACAAGCATAGGATGGAGCAAAATAATGAATTTCAAAACACAGCTCCTACAGCTACTTTGCTGTGCCTGCCTTGAACCTCTAGTGAAGGCTCCCAGAAGACCTCGATTCTTACGGATTAAAGCTTCACCTCAATCACGGTTAGAGCATATGCACAATTATTGTCATTGTATTGTCAGTATATTTTAAAAAATAATTTAAACCATTATTTTAGATTTTTTGTTGTTGGCTGCAATGCTTTTTTTCCCCACAAGTGAGAAACAAACACTCTCATTTTTTCTCCTTTCTGCTCCTTTTCAGTAATACTATTATTATCTTCGAACGGTCCCTTTAAAATTTAGACGGGGGCTCTCATGGCCTGGAGGTTAAGGTGTTCGCCTCTCATTCAATGGGTCCCAGGTTCCAATTCGGATAGCGAAGGAAATTTTTCTTCTCTTAAATTTTCTCCTTTCACCTCCTTTCCTGTTCTAGCAATGTTTTGTCGTCTGCTTTCGTCCCCACTTACTGCCCCCATCCCCTCACCTCATTTGCCCCCCTCCTCTGGGCTCCTGACTCTTTCTAGAGCCTTTCTACTGCTACTCCTTGGCTCCTTCTAACTTATATCTTTCAGCCACACCCCTGATATTCTGGTAGGAAAGATCGACACCTAGCCATCTCGGACAGAGCGAAAAATCTCTGAGGTACCGTGTGCAAGTTGCGCACGTTAAAGATCCCTTGGTGGTCTAAAATCAATAACAGCACGCTTCGGCCGCCACTTGGGCAAAATTCAAAATTTCTTACCAACTGAAAATGTTTTATGTGTCCTGCGCGCTCACATGACCTTATGCAGTTGCGAGTGCCATAAAACGCTTACTAAAAAAAAATAAATTTAGACACTCTGGTGTAGACCCACCATGAATGATCACTGTGCTGTCATCACCTTGAAACTATTTAGTCCAAAGTGCATTCCACAGTTAAATGCTCTGTGGACAAAATGGTTAAGAAGCAACAATGTCTAGATGCAGTTTGATTTTGACTAATGGTGCTGTCAAAGATAGAAAGATATTGTAGAATAGTCTGCAATATGTTTTCATGATGTAGCCACCTCCTTGTTGTATTTTCTCCTTTCGTTTTATTACTCTCCCAGCGGTCTCAACCTCAATTTGAAGGGTGTCGGAATTCATGTGTTTTCCCCTCTGGTCACAGACAGTGCTATTGCCAATGCACAGAACCACATCTCAGACAAAATGTGGTTTAGGTCTTGTCATGGATGTGGGAGACGTGGAACATCAGAAATGTTTACCTCATGGTGAGTTTGTCTTCTTGTTTATTTCATGATGCATATGTTACACGTATTGGATGTTGATCTTGTGTTTTGATGTTGTTTCAGACATGCAGGAAGGGACAACAGCAAATTATAATATTGATCTTCTCACCACTCATAGGGAGCATTACTTACTATTCACTATGGTGAAAGGGAAGATGGCAGTGAAGAAGTCATAACTTTCAAACCTTGAGTCACACACCACAAACCATCCCGTTCTTGAGATGGGCGTTGTGGGCAGGATTTGCATACAAGAGTGACATACAGCTGCAGAAGCACTGTGTTTCTGTTTTGATTGCATTGCAAAGTTTTTGACTTCCATAAAGTCTGCGTAAAATACTACTTTAAATATTTTAATTATGATGAGAATACAAAATAGAATTATCCCAGAATTAGCCCAAGAACAGTGTGGATTTATTGAAGACAAAGGCACTGTAAATGCCTTATATGTCGTCAGAACAACAGTAGAACGTGCCCTGGAAGTTCAGAAAGATCTTCATTTATGCTTTATAGACTACACCAAAGCGTTCGACAAAGTTAGGCACGATCTGATCATCGACATGCTAGTCCTCAGTATTGACGGGAAGGACTTAAAGATTATCAAGAACATATATTGGGATCAATCCGCTGCAATAAGAGTAGAAAACAACATCAGTGAATACGTACAGATTAAGAGAGGAGTTAGACAGGGATGTGTACTTTCACCAGACTTGTTCTCCCTGTATAGGGAAAATATCATGAGACACGTAGAAGAAATGCCAGGTATCTCGATAGGGGGACATAACGTAAACCATTTAAGATATGCGGACGACACAGTCCTAATAGCAGAAGATGAAGAACACCTACAGGATCTATTAAATGTCATTGTACAAGAGAGTAACGACATGGGCCGAAGCCTAAACATCAAGAAAACTGAAACAATGATGATAAGCAGAAAAATTCCAACCCCAACCTGCAATATCAAAATCAATGGTACCCCCCTCAAGCAAGTACAACATTTTAAATATTTGGGGACCGTTATATCATCAGATGGGAGATGTCATACTGAAATTAAAAACAGCATTTGGTAAGCAAAAGCAACCTTCCACAAAATGAAACAGATACTTACAAACATCAACCTGTTATTGGAAACAAGAAAAGGAATACTGAAATGTTACATCGAGCCAGTCCTATTATACGGGTGTGAAGCATACACAATCAATGGACAGCTGGAAAGAACAATTGATGCAACAGAGTTGTGGTTCATAAGACGCATGCTGCGTATCCCATGGAGAGCTAGAAAAACAAATAAAAAAGTCTTGATTGAAACAAATTACAGACGACAGTTTATGACGTATATACGAAAGCGACAGGCAAATTTCATTGGACACACAATGCGGAAAGAAGGCAAGTTTGATGGAAAGAGAGGCAGAGGCAGACAGAGGGAAAAGATCTTGGACAAATTGACAACATGGCTGAGAACAGCAAGAACAACAGACACCATTGCTGCAGCATAAAACAGATTGAAGTGGAGGTCCATGATCGCCCACGCCAGTTGGCACAGCACCGAATGATGATGATGAAAGTCTGCGTCTTGGACCCGTGTTTTTTTTTCTATTTCTTCTCCTTCCTCAAATTGGTCTCCATTTTTTCTTCTTCTTCCTCTCTTCCTCCTCATCTCTATGAACAGGGATTATTTCCACACAAGCTGTATCGAACAGTGTTTGTCACGTCAGGAGACACGCTTACACAGCATAAACTGCCAAGCTGTGAGGCCTTGGAATGGTATATTGGTATAAATCGTCACATGATAAACATCACACTACTGCACGACACAGTACAGCTTGGCCTTTCCTGTGTAACTGGGGCTATGAAATTGCCCTGAAACAGCACAAAGCAAATTTTGACTTTTTAGCTTGCTTTAGAAAGGAGTATTACAATAGGTTTTATGTTTTTACTTTTTTTTTTTCAAAGTGTTAACTGCTGACAGAGTAAACAATAGGAGGAACTCATAATGTTTTAAATTATGACATATTTAGATGTTTCTTTGAACTGTGACAAGTGAATTCTTGAATTGGAGTTGGTTGAGTTATGACTGCCGGCTAAAAGAAAGGACAGGTTGCTTTTATTACAGAAGAATAACGAATACTTTCTGTTGATGTCTGACTTCATTTGTTCATTTGTATTAATAGTGGCTGCTTGGGTTGTTTGTACATTGTATCTTGAAATAGAATATGCTTAGTGCACATAGATGATCGTGTGCATTGTACGTGTGTTTGTGTCTCTGAACTTTACTTTTTCTTAATGCCCTCCCTTGTCGACAAATCCTTTTGTCTATGAAATGATATATTTATGTACAATTAAAAACCTGTTGTCATTTGCAATTCCCCTTTTTTCTTCCCACTTAGTTTTGTGTTTTCTAACTTTCGGCTCAAAGCTACTGATTTGCTTTATACATGTTTGACTTTTTTTTATTTCTACAGTCCGGACTGTGATGCTGTGCTCTTTTGTGATGCATATTGTAGAGATTATTCTGACCACAGTAAATGGTGTCCATATTTCAAGGTTTATATGGAGACTGAGGAGACATTAGGAGAGTTTCCCTTAGCATTTACAAATGGTAAATCTTTCTTATTGGCTTTTGTGTTTGGAGAATTGGGGTGTTAAGCCTTAGGAAGTTAAGGGAATATTTCTGTTAAATGTTAATGTATTTACCCACAACATCCTTTGAGAAATCCTCTCTACTTTAAAGTCTTTGGGTGTTTTTCAGGTTCACAGAGACAGTAGTCAGGCAGGGGCTTCCATAACCAAATTTTGGCTGATTTCAGCAATCTACAAGAACTTTTGAGGACTACTTATGCTTTTGTACAAATTACCTTCCAAATAAAATCACCTTCACTGACATAAATTTTAACAAAACCTTTTTAGACGTGCTAGAGAAGTTCTGGATATAGGCCAGTGAAAGTTACAATTAAGAGTGAAATTTTCCTTTTCTTCACTCTTCACAGAGATTTATGTATGTGTAGTAGTCCAGTAAAAGCATATTTAAATTCAAGCCTGCACGGCCTTCTGCTTGCTGATCTGGCCAGTAAAAGCCAGTCATGTCTTGACCTTGTAAATTGGTCAATTGTGTTCATCTTTTATCTCATCCTCTAGAATTCATAACAAACAGAAATGACAGTTCTAGGAGTGTGCACCCTCTGTTTTCCTCTTTTACTTTTATTTTGCTTTATATTCTGTAGAGGAAGAGATCTTGAAATTTCTAACCTTGAAATTTTTAACATATTTTAGCTATTAGTGTGTTGCCCTACAGATTAAAAAAAGGGGAAAAGTAAAAGTGGGAAAATATAATCTTTGTTTATGTATTAAACTTTTTTCTACCATGGATAATATCATATGAATGGAATATAATGTTTTAATCATTTGCTCTATCTTCTGATGATCTTTTGCACTATCATTTCAGAAACAACTCAGAGACTGTACAATGTGTTCAAGAATCGTGATTTTCTTATGAGGCATAATATATACAATAAAGGTATATGGAGGCGAGAATGCAAACTACTCATGGTCTCGCTCATGGCATTTGGCTTTGGTTAGTATGACTTTCACTGTTGTATTAGTAGCAGCTGACTTATGAAGTGTATTATTGTAGTAATGTTTCGTATGGTCTTGGTCTCTATCTTGAGCTTGGCTCTTGTTCCATTTATGTATACCTGTGATCTTTGGGTCAAGAAATGATCACCACTTATTCCAACTGGGTATGATTTTGTTTATTTATTTTTGTTAGAAACCAGGTAGGTATGTTGTTTTTTTGTAAGTGTTTAAGGCAATAATAAGCCCTCATCACATAAGGCATACATTATTTTACAATTGTGAGAAACTTCCGTGAAGACAGATCTTGTTATAAATGATACACATAATTATCAATAATATTTCAGAAATGTTTTATGTTTTAAAAAAATGTTTTGACTTAAATCTTTTCTCTACGGTTAAACATTATAGATTTTTATCACTGGATTGAGATAGAAAAGGGGGAAGGAGGGAGGAATTAATTATTTCCTTTGATAGGCATAGCTTTAATAATAAAAAAATTAATTGAAATTCTTTTTCAATTTCATGAGTTACACCTCTCGCTTATGGGTGAATCAAAATTTCTTTATTAAATTTCTATGGATAAAGATTATTATTCAATAGTAGGTTGTGAGTTTTTAACAAGGCTAAAACTCTTCGGTTCCAAAAAACGTGGGAGGTTGAAGATTTACTCGTCTGCATCTTGAAGGGAATTTGTAAGAGCGAAAAAGTTATATTTGCGAAAGATTTTTTTCACTATGTTCTGAACACAATGATCAACGAGCCTACTTTTTATTTCACTGAGAAATAACTTACTATTTCTTTCACTTTGAGAAAACCAGACATATCCAAATTCCAGGGAAAATAATAAGCTTTTTGACTTCAGTAGCCCAAGTGACAAGCATTTTATAGCTGCATGTAAACTTTCATTGAAAATCTGCCAATTTATAAGTGTTGCACCAGAATTAAACGACTCATTGCATGTTATCAGAATATGATTTGAATTAGTTTTTCCGACTTATCTTAGAACTTAACTCTTGGTCTAGCTTTTCCTAGATCTAGAAATGCTTTCCAGAATTCTAACTGAACATTGTTAGTCACGTCCAATTTTTGGTACCCCAAATTTCAGAGAGGTAAGCTTCATTGATTTAACCTTAATGTATCAAAAACGTTTTTTACTGTTTAAAAGCCTAGTTCTTGGTATGAAATAAAAAGTCCTCTTGACAGAAACTAAATGCCCTTCATAGCTACAATCTTTATAATATTTAGGGGAACTGGATTGGCCATCGGTTGAACCATACGGCTTAAGCAAGGAAGACGCCATCCTGAAGCATCCACCCCAAAGATCGATACCAAGCCTGTCAAGACCATTGACTGACTGGGCCTGCTACTATGACTACCGAGGGTTTGATCATGATTCTCCTGTGGCTGGAGTCTTGCACTATGCCCTTACATTATACAGAATCATTGTCCACCAACTGCCTCTCAATTGTATGTACAGCTGGCTTTTGCTATCAAGAAACAATTAGCTCAACATTACATTTGTAAAAATGTAGCGCAGATGCATCATCATGTCATAACACTAGCATGCTTTGTATGTGATTCCTCCTGTAACCTTTTAGTCGTCTCTAGATTACTTTTGTTTAGGTACATAGCTATTATACTCTTTTGAGAGAGAAATGACTTTTTTTCAAATCTGTGCTGTCTCTGTCTGGATATATAACAGAAAAAGCAAGTCGTTACTTGTGTGTCTTTTTTTTGGGGGGGTGGGGGTGGCTTTCATGTTATAGTGCTGGATCCTATCTTGGTTTTCATGGTATGAAGTAAAACAGATTTGTGCAATATCCCCTTCTACATTGACTGCTTCGGTTTTTTTGTTTGTGGTTGTGTCGTGTAACGTGATAATGACACAAATACAGAAAGAGCAAAAAGTTTATCATCAGTCTCTACTAATAACAGTTTCTTTTTTACTTATCATCTGCCCTAGATCCTGCTGTGTTCAACAAAATGAAACAAGAGATGTTTTTGTGTGTCCATGTCATTGGAGCTGCAAAGGAAGCAGATATGTGGCACTCCTTTTTGGTAATAATACACAATTTATTGAGAGCATTATTTAAACTTCTGTAATTTCTAATAAATAAATTGATGTGGCATAAGGCCCATTGTGCTACTCGCTTCCACCCCTCTTCCCTTATAATAAATTTTTAAAGAAAGGGGTGGGGGGGGGGGGGGAAAGGAGGAGGGGAGGGGAGGGGTAACAGTTTAGACATGTATAAATTATAAAGGATAAGGAACTGGAGCCATTAAGCCATCGAAAATCACTCTCTTTAGAATTGTTTAAGAGATGTAAGTTTGTGATACTAAAGGCTAGAAATTTCAATTGTACATGAGCCCTGTTTGTCTACCTTATGAGATGTGGAGCTTGTGAGTTGTCGTCAATTTCAAAATTACTGTTGTGGGGTTTTTTTTTCGTGTGATTTAGCCACAGATATAACATTCTTATCCAATCAGGTGAAGGTGGCAGAATATGGTTTAAAAAAACAGGTAGTATTTGTAGTTATAACAATTTACAAACAAAGCAGTTTTGTAACAAGACTGATTGCTGTTTTCTTTTTCTCTAGGGCAGTTTGGGTTTGGGGAGGGGGGGAGCAGCAAGTATACCGCCTTATACCTTTTGTTGAGCTGTTCTGTTGTCTGTCTTGTTTTATAACTGTGGTGATATTTATTTTTCAGTACAAAGGAGCAATTGTACAGTAATGTATCTGTTATTTTCGACTGACTGGAGTAGTGCTAATAAGCCAGAAGCTGTATCAATAGTTAATGAAGATGCAAACGTGTGCTCAAAATGGGAGGTTTTTTTTCAGTGATGATGGGATTATAAGAGCAGATGAAAGTCAACTGAGGATGAAAATCATAGTTCAATGATGATGATTATCATATGGTTGTTTAATCTTTTTTTTAAAGTGAAAGTCTGTTTTTGTAAAGCTGGTCCTGAAAATTTGATGTTGTTGAGAAGGTACAAGAAAAAAAGAGCAATTGCCTAATGGATTTAAAATGAAAATACATTGACAGATTTTCTTAAAGCTCAGTGATATTACTTTGAAACCTGTGTTTATCTTCCTTTTCTTCTCTCTTCCATTAATGTTTTAAATGAGTTTCATTATTGTCTCCAAAGGAATGTGCTCGACTGCTGCGACCCATCAGTCTCCACATCTGTTTCATCGGAAATGAAATTTCACCAGATGCTCATGACAGCTTTAAAGGGGAGGAAAATCTCTGTGTGAGGTGTTTTTCCGGACTCTATCATGAGCTTCAAAGATATCCAATGTTCCCTGAGGGTCACATTGCAGTCTGTAAGTTTAATCATCATTAGAAAACAACTTAGAATACACGTTATGTAGCTCAGGAGGCACAGCACTTGGTCATCTCTTCAGGAAATGAAACTGAGAATAAAAGTGTTCTCAAAAGGACCTGAAATATTCACTCTACCCGGGTTTGAACTCCAACTTGCATTTTTGGCAAGTTTGACAGATAGAAAGAAAAAAACCCCCAAACAAACAAGCTGTCTTTCTGCTATGTTTCTCTGTACATGCCCAACACACTAAAGTCTGAAAAATTGATTCTTTAAAAAAGCCATGGCCATTTTTATAACAAAGTACAGTATAACACGTATAGCTTGAAATCATTGGGACCGGCCTCGGTAGTTCGAGGGGTCCGTAGTTTGAGGGACACATGAACAGTGTTATGGTATAGGCTGTGTTAGAGAATCAAAGGAAGCAACAAAGATTGGGTCGGAACAGATAATTTTGTTTTTACGGCCATTGTCTTAGATAAAATAGGTCAGATCTATGCCTATTTACTTGAATTTGACATTTGAGAGAATTTGAAAATGACAGATTGAGAGTGAGAAACACAAACAACATTTTAGAGTTTGATCAGTTATGAGCCTACCGGTACCATGACAGTTTAACTGCGGGGGCTAGTGTGAACAGTCTTTTGTCTGCACCAATTGAACGGTGTCTTTTCAAAGTTTTCAGAACATAAACAATTTTAACAGATAAGCATATTATATCGCAACAGTAATCAACAACGCGATGTCAAAACAATCCGGCCCTACCCCGTCTCTCCTACCAAGCGCACAGTCCTTTGCAAAGAGGGGTGGGGCGGCTGATTGTGTGATGCACAACCCTTCCTTTCGCCCGCTCCACACAAACCTAGCTAGGCCTAGGACCTAGGCATGCGCAGAGGGCTCAGCTCGCATGTCGAGCAGCATGCAAGAAAAAAAGCACAACTAGCTGCTTCTGTGGGGGGGGGGGGGATATTTTTTACCAACCTTACCTTTTTCGGTTTCTTTTAATTATTAGGCCAATTATTATTTTGTCTCAATTGCAACTCAAAGTACATTGACTTTAGACCTCTATGGCGGTGTAATTAGTTTGACTATTCCGTGTTTGTGTTCGAGCTTCGCATAATTTTCTTACAAAGATAAAGAAGAAGAAAAAACGGGACCGTAGGCACAGTTCGGCGCATGTGTGATTTCGAGTAATCTGTGTTCGACCTCTGCGGGCTATACTGTAGTTTGTAAGTACAGTAAAACTTCGAAAGCAGAAATTTTATAGGTCTTGAGAATTTCTTAGTGTCATGCAGATTTCATGCTTAAGAAAGTTGCAATGTATAGAATAAGGAAGGTGAAAAAAGAATAAAATGGAGATTTGAAATCTTTTTATGTGACAGAAATTTTGTGTTAATGGGCTTCATATTAAAAAAGTCTACTGTATTTGCTCTGCCTTTTCTTCTCGATTGTGTAAGCATTGCGTTTCCAGGTTTTATTGTGTGTGTGTGTGTGTGTTTGTGTGTGTGTTGGGAAAGTTGGATTTGAAATAAAGTAATCACAAACTCTGGTTTGAAATTATAAGGGGACAATGAAGAAAAATAAGCTGTGGGCTTAACATCTATCTGCAGAACAGGCTGGCATAGTAATTGTCCCTTGAGCACCTCATTGTAGTCTGTACAATGATTTTTTTAAAAGTCTTTGGTTTTCAGATTAGTGTTCAATACAAAGTCATAAGTCCTGTAGATGCTTTTTGTTTAGCAGCTTGTAAAGATGGAAGAGAGTCCATTGGAACAAATTTTGTTTTGGAAAGTTGTGCTGTGTCACCAGCAACCAATGTTAAATTTACCCTTTAACTTAAGCAAGCAGACTCCTAGATCAACAGCTGTAAAACAACATTCTTTCTCTTAGAGTTAGGATTTAATTTTGTTGTTCAGTTGCTGTGTAGACATTATATATTTTTGGAATTGGTTGGGTAATATATATATAGTAGGGCTACTAAAAAAACACACACTACCACTATTATGATTCATTTCAGAATGATAGACATTCATACTTTTTAAATTCTTAACCGACAAATTTTCTTCCTCTGCTATTAATTGTGGACCAGCAGGCCTATGCTTTTTGTCTTCCCCTTTTGACTGTGAACCTAAACTAAAAGACGAATAATGTCAAAACTTCTATTTCCATGCTGATAATAAGCTGTCCATACTATCATACCTGCTGCCTCTATAAATGCAGATTATTATTATGTTATTGCTGTTTCCCCTGCTTTTTATTTTGAAATTTCAGGTTTCAATGCTGGACTGGGGGCTTATGGAACCTACAAGAAAACAGTACAACATTTAATGGTAAAATTTACTTTCAAATATGAATGTAACATTTACAGCATTGCCCGTCAAAATGGAACTTAAGAAGTGGGATTTTTAAAAACTGTAATGTTAGCCCTGATATTTTCCACATATTTTTGGAAAAGAAATGATGGCCAGACAATTTATGTTATTTTGTTAATAACTTTATCCTAGGAGGTATCTGCTACTTTCACCTTTAACACCACCAAATGGCATCATGCAGAAGAGTTAACGCTCAGATGCTACTGGATTGCTAACAACAACAACACCTTTAACACCCAAATCTATGTTGAAGCAATATTATCACAAGATAAATCTAAATCTTTTGCACAAAGATTGCAAAAAAGAAAGGAGTCTTGTCCTACTATTGATGCTTTTACACATCATTGCTCTATGGTAGTAAAATATGCCTTTTGGCTACTATTCACGTGATAGTGTCACTTTGTCAGACTTTGGATTTTGTCAGAAATAGCTCTCATTGAAAAGCCATAGGAATTGTGAGGCTCTTCACTCTGTGCATCAGGACATTCTTTCAGCTTGGTTACTTCTCGTGAGAAAAGATTGTGGAAAAAGATTAGGGTCGCACCCCATCATTAACCCCTTTGTGACCTTTTGTGATGTACGCTGTTCATCATTTTCTTTTACACGCTGAACGAGCCAAGATGCTGCCCACTGTCGGAGACTCTTTTGAAAAATCAAGTAAACAACAAACTTCACAACATTAAGCCCAAACTAGGTCCGCGAAAACCTTCGGGCCTCTCCAGAAGAGACGAAGTCGTTTTTGCTCAATTACGCATCGGACACACGTCCCTGACACATAAATACCTCCTTCAGGGAGATGAGAAGCCGTTCTGTGTCGAATGCGACGCAGATTTTACCATAAGACACATTTTAACAGAATGTCTAGACTTCGGAGTGACCCGAAGGAAATATTTTAGATGCAAAAAATTGCAAGATCTGTTTTCCATCGTTGATCCCAACAGAATACTTGTTTTTATATAAAGGCCAAAGACTTTATGTAAAATTGTAAATTACATGGTTTAAAATTTTTTAGATTATTTTAAAAGTTATTCAAATTAAGAATTTATTTACACAAATTTTTATTTTATTTTAGTAGAGATATTGACCAGAAGCGGGCTTTGCAGTGAACTGTCGTGAATAGAACCAACTTTTTATCACACACTCGTATGACCTAATGCAGTTGCGAGCGCCGTAATACTCTTACTAGAACAAACAGGATGCTGCTGTGGTCTTCGTTGGTTGTATTCTACATATTGCTTCCATTAGATGCATTTCATAAAACTAATGGCAGATTCACATTCTGGAATACTTTTTTTGGTGCAAAGACATCTTTTCCTTTTAGATGTAGTTTGTAGTATTTGCAAACCGGGTCTAATTATGGGAAACTGACCATTAAATTTAACTGTCCCTGGTGAAGCACAGACTGACCCTGTGTCACCTAGGGATTAATATGTTGAAGAAAGGTGCCGGTATTTCTCGAAAAAATTGGGGATAGCTGTAATAATCAGTCCAAAATCTGATCGCCAGTTTTGCCTTTAGACACTGATGAGATTGCTGTGTTGGTTTCCATATTTTTGCCTAAATTTGTTTAATTTCAACTCTATGTACTTTATGATTTTTAATTTGTGAAATACCAGGGATGATAACATTTTTTTGATAACTGCAGTCCACAGGAATGCCATCCTTCTGCACAGACTACTGCCTTGCTAGCTATGAGCAGAGCAGGAAAACAGTGAGAGTGCAGAGAATGGCAGTACTGTCAGAGCCAATGCTGAACCCCTTCCGCAGCCCATTCCGAATGGTGTTCACAGATACAGATCTTCCAAGATACAGCAATGCTATTTTGTTTAACCTTTTACCTTACAGTGCCACAACAGCACCCATGGTTTTTGTTCCTCGCAGCTTTTGTAAAAATCATAGCAAACAGGAATGTACTTCTGAGGTTTATAAACTCAGTCTACTGCCGGATGATTTGTAGTATTTTCACTGGTTCCCTGACTCTTTCTACTCGTTGATATATATATATATATATATATGTTTTGATGTGATCTCTTTAATATGAGGAAAATTGATGAAGAAGGTTACTATAAGAGTAATTTCAGTTTTTTGTTTCTTGAAGAGACTCTGCATATATGTAAGATGGTTTTCGTATTTAATTTTTTCTTTTTAAGAGACAATAGTGCCCTCCACTTAGCACAACTTCAACCGCCCAGACATTACTATCATGTAAACCCTTTATTGTTAGCTGCATGCATGGTAATGCATTTGCTACTCAAATTGGTTGTATGTATGTGTTGCTTACTATGGGGCAGCCTCTTTGAGAGTGAAGTTAAGTGTCATGTCTTTATAGTTAACACTTCTCTGCCCCTGGCACTGTCAAACTGTCCTTTTTCTAAACTTTTTCGTGTACCCAAGTATCTTTAGGCATAATATGGTACCGTCACCTTCACAAAGGACGTTGTGTGAGGCATGGACGAGTCTCTTTACCCTCGTCATGCGGGGGCCGGGTTTATGTCGCCCGATAAGCCTATTTCGACACCTCGCCTGCGTTCTGGTCCCGAGTCAGTCTAGCCCCTGGTTCAGCGCACGCGCACCGCGCATCATCTTACGTGAAATTTGGGTCCCGAGTCGGATCCCCATTCACGCTGGTCAAATGTGTGTGCGTCAGTCTGCTTGACTTTGTGTGTGTTTGTGGCCTTCTTCTAGCACCGCCTGCGTTGGTTCGTAATCGAGGCGTACGTCTCATTCAAAACACGCCAAGTGGGTAGCTCTAGATGTTCGTCCAATGAAATTATAGAAGAAATTGACCCACTTAGACATGAGGAGCTCGGAAGGATAGTCAGGAAACAAGACTTCAATTTTTCTATACAAAATCTTTCAAATGAGCTTGATTTTGTATGAAATGGTACTACCTGATAAAAAATAAGCTTGTTTGATAGTTAAGAGTACCATTGTGCAGGTACAAAGAACAATTTGAGTGTAAAACATTAGGAAATTGACCTATATTATCCCCTTTCGAACCTCAGGTCATTCATAACAACAAGAGCGTCAAGAAAGGTTATTCGAATGGGCATAACTACTCGTAACGTCTTATCAGCTCGTGAGAGGGGGTTTTTCATTTGTTTGTAATACTTTATAAATAGAAAGCTATGAAAGATAGAGCGTTTTTTTCATCATCCATGAACACACTCCCACGGTATTCATGGCGAAAACACACGTTTCCCTGCGCGTGCGCTGTACACCAACAGTACACACTGAGTGACCCCGGCGGCCTGCCCGGAATGTACGACGTAATCGGTTGCTGACAAGATTCGCATCTCAGCACAGACGCAGGACAAGAGTTAAGGCTCACACCAGGCCAATAAGTCTGTCAGAGTGACATTTCTTTTTTTTAAAGTCAAAACCTTGCTCACACAACATGAGCATGCGCGTACCATCTCAAGCATTGTCCAAATCTCCCCTACTTGTCATACTACTCATACTCATGTCACCACCTCTCATTTTCTCTCCGCAATCTGTGTGACTGGTTAAATGGTTAGTTTGTACAACGCTTCATGAACACCAGTTCACAGTGTTTCGACCAGTTAGACTTTCCACTAGTTCCTTATATGCGAGTGATGGAGGATTGAGCTTTACATTGAAAGAATCAAGGAGAATAGTTCTCTGCTATTACCAGAATGTACAAATAATACTGATACTGTACCAGAACATCCTTTGTAACTTTCCTTGAATCTAAGTATCTAGGACCTGTTACCATCTTGTGTTTACTAGTGTTTATTGCATATAGCCTGTTTCTCTATCATGAACCTTATTTGGAATTACTTTGTACATGTGATATTTAAATTGTTTTGTCATTATTTGCTACATTTTGCTAAAAATTATTTGCTGTGTAATATTATGCTGATAACCTTGAAAAACCCATTTTGATGATGTACAGTAAGTATTGATTGTGATGTTTCTTGAAATGAAAATTATTTTCTGATTGTTTTGAGACACTATTTAGATGAAACACTACAATTCCTTAAAGAAAACAGTGAAGTAACCTACCGGGCACTTCAAACTCAAGACAAGCGTAGTAGCCTACTCTTGCTGCAATCTACATCCTAATTATTTTCTTTGGAATATAATGATAAAATAATATTATGTTTACGATTTTTAATCATATTATTGCATTTAAAAAATGAAGTTAAGATTTTTTGCTGTGTTGTTTAAAAAAAATGGTCGATTAAAATGTTATTGAATCCAGTTATTTTGCTAAGTTTGTCTTTTTTTACATTTTGTAGGCTACATGGGAGGCTGAATCAACCAATTGGGGGGGCTCTCGTGGCCTAGAGGTTAAGGTGTTGGCCTCTCATTCAAAAGATCCTGGGTTCGAATCCGGGTAGCGACCGAAAAATTTTCTTCTCTAAAATTGTCTCCTTTCACCTTCTTTCCTGCTCTCTAGCAATGTTCTGTTGTCTGCTTTCATTTCCACTTTCTGCCCCCACCCCCTCACCTCCTTTGCCCCCTCTTCTGGGCTCCTGACTCTTTCTGCAGCCTTTCTACTGCTACTCCTTGGCTCCTCCTTACTTCTGTCTTTCTGCCACACCCCTGATCTTCTGGTAGGAAAGATCTACACCTAGCCTTCTCGGACAAGGGCGAAAAATCTCGGAGGGCCTGTGTGCAAGTTGCGCACGTTAAAGATCCCTTGGTGGTTTAAAATCGTTAAAAGTAGGCTTCGGCCGCCACCCGGGCAAAATTCAAAATTTCCTACCAACTGAAAATATAAGGTGTGTCCCGCGCGCTCATATGACCTTATGCAGTTGCGAGCGCCGTAAAACACTTTACAAAAACAAAAACAACCAATTGGAAACTCTCAGCAGACCTTACATTGTTGGTGGAAAGAGCAGAACAGTATGGATAGAAGTAATATTTTTGTGGTAAAATGGACTGCAGGGGAAAAGGGATTTGTGCTGCAGGCAAATAATTTATTCTGATTACATTGGCAAAGTTCATATGCGGTGTGTTTCGGGGAAAAGAGAAAGCAGTGTAAAAGTAGTGAACTTTAATGTTGATCATCACAAATGACTGACAAGTCATAACAAATTATGCGTTAGCCTTGTGTGAGCAAAGAGAATCACATTCTCAAGATAATTGTCACTAAGTCTCTAAAAAGAGCAAAATTGGCTGACAAAAAACAATGGAGGGCAAATAAAGAAGTAGAGCCCTCTAACCACCCTTAACTTTATGAGGGATAATTGCTGAAAAGCTTCAATCCTCTGAGATATTTTACAGCAAAATCTTTGAAAGATGTGATCGATAGAATCAGATTACATGTACAGTCAAACCCATTGTCAAGGAGAAAAGTGGCCGTATAAGACAGGTGGTCGTCTTAGGCAGGACTGATCAAGATGAAGAAAACAAACCATTCCCATCTGAAGTCCCAATCGAAAGTAGCCGCATTGTTGTTGTTGGTTTGTATTTTGTTTGTTAATATTATTTTGTTGCTGATTTTTCACAAGGGTGACAATAAAACGAAATGTATCAGACGAGGAAGATCGAGCGCCATGGTAAAACAAACACATGGGTCGCCACCACTCGGAAAACGAGCGACGCTTCTGTCGCAAGTTCATGTTGACGTCCATTGTTACTTTGTTACAGACTGGGTAAACAGTGGCCACTCATCTCACTTACGATTTGCATATGAGTTCTGGGCGGGGCTTATGGGTTAAGAGGGATAGGAATCACACGCTTACCTCACCAGCAGCTGAAAATTGGTACCTATTGGTCAACAGTGGGAGGGGTCAACGCAACATGATCGGTTGGAGGGACTACCTAACAACAAGAAGTGATTGGATTATGATGGCTCGCCCACAACACCAGTAGCCAATGCACAATTAATGACAAAACGTAATGGAGTTACTTAGGTGGCTGTCTAAGACAGGTATTATTGCTTTGTGTGATAGGGGTTGTGTTTTAAAATATGGTGGCCCCGGTCGCGTCGGACAGGTGCCCGTTTTACACAGTTAAATTATATAGAAAAAACGCAAGAGGGGAAATGGAAAGTGGCCGTTTGTACAGGTGACCGTCTTATAGAGGTGGCCGTCAGGGCAGGTTCGACTGTAGTTCTTTTGGCTTCTGAGTTTGAGAGAAATCTACCCAGCTTGACTTTCTCCCAGTTTGGTTGAAGAAGGAATGTCTGAGAAATAGAGAATATTGAATTGATATCGGTCCACTTGACAATCTTTCAATACATCAGGGGGGGGGGCGCTTGTAGAAGATTGTAGACTTAAAGTGAAATATTAATCATCGGACTCATCCGAAGGTAGATCGTCAAGTTGAACAGGAACACCACGGTAGATCATCAAGTGGATCAGCACCATAGAGTTACCCCCTTTGTACATCTATGATCAGCACTCATGTGATATACCGGTACTGTATCGACACTTTTTGCTTTGAATATTATGTTTAAAGCAGTACCGTTGTAATCTGTGGTGTATAGCAGTGAGGTGCTTCACCACTGTTTGCAGAAGGCGTGAGTGAACTCATAGCCTGTGCGTTGAGTAATTTTTAAATCGAGGCATATCACTATCTCCTTCTGTCTGCAGGCACACATAATACGCTATCCGTCGCAGTCTGGGTTGGGCCTGACATGCTATATATATATATATATA